TGGGGCGCGTGTGGGGAGAGACTCCAGAGGGAGCCGTCCAGGTCAGCCTGTGACCCAAGATCGAATGTCCTGTAGCTTTCAAGAGTGGGTCGGGAGTCCCTAGTGTTGGGGACGTGGGTAGGTAATCCTTGTTCCTCAGATCGCTTGGCATACGCCTTGACGGCCTTGACGGGCGAATACTGGCGTTCTCTGAAAGAAGTACACTGGGGGCAGAGACAGGGCGAGAGACAGGAGGGCAAAAAGTGGGGGGTTGTGTGATAGCAAGGGCTGTAAGATATAATCAAAATATATCAGATTGCAATGTGTTATTTCGGTTATTTGCATGAATTTTCAATTTTAATGTATTATTTCCAATAATTCACTGTCTAAAGGTAGACAGAGGAGCATGCTTAGGGAGACAATTGCAATAGTCTGCAAGGACTTGCTTGAGTTGCAATTGTCTCAGATAGCAGGAAATGAAAATCTACAAGAGATAAGCATTGTGCAGAACTACAAGGAAGCAAAAGGTGTCGCAGTTCGCAAGAACGTCTTGAACGACTAATTTCCTTGGGAAAAAATGAAAATGCAACAATGCAGAATTCATCAGTGTGCAGTGCAATAGTGCATACAGTATACATCTTAATAGTAAATATTCTATCTCATTTCATTGAAATTGTCTATCAACGTCAACAACAGCAATTTGAGGCAAAGCAATAATGAAAACTAGTAATGCAGTCCTCATACTTCGGGAGCGACTCATTACATCAAAATATACTTTCTCAAGACAACATTTGCACGATAAAACATAATGCAAAACAAGAATACACGATTGGCGCACGTCGATTATCTTCACCGAAACAGTACACATGTAATTCTTGTGCAATTAACGGGTTTGTGAAAGGAGAGACGACGTGCATATGTGGCTGTGTGAGTGCTGAGTAGACGAGTTGAGTATGTGAATGGTGAGTTATGAAATGAGTAGTCATAGCGCACAAGTAGAAAATATGTTATTGTTCAGATTAGATTCAGAAATATTATACAG